CTAGTAATGTTCTTGAGTAACAATCACATCGGACAGCACAGAAGTTAGAAGTAGCAGTAGGTTTGTTCTGAGTCTTTGATCTTCATTGTGCGCTCCGGAGGCCCGAAATATATTTGGCTGTCACTTGTGTACCGTTCTTAGGAAATAATAAAAAATATTTTTTGGCTCCTGATAATTTGATCCGAATAAAGTGTGAAACAATACTAATTATTTACCTCATAATATAGTAAAATATACCTGTTGCTGTAATCGACTGGCGTAAAGTCTTTGGTAATTGTTCTGCCTCGAGCCCTTTTATTCCGGGAATAGAGTTAAGGTTACAACGACCCTTACCGACAATAACCGACTTTCACATAATGAAAGAAAGAAGTATACTTATTGCCTGTATCTATATGAGGACGCATTCCACTGTTAAGATGTCGCACAAAACGCTAAGTTTGGTTTGATTTGATGTTTAGCAAATTCCTTCTTAGTATTTAAACTATGAGTGGGTTTGCCAGAAGTGAAGGATTGTAAAGAATGACCACAATGAGCCTCATTCAACAAGTTATCTGCATGGTTGCTCGTTTGTGCTGTTTTGATTTTGGGTTTGCCGTATGTAAAGCTTCATATTTTTCAATGGCTGTGTAGAGACTGTAGTCTTTGTTTTATCTGATTACAACTATTCGAAATGGCAAAAACATGCTTCAAATAATAATCGTAAACCCCTTTGAAAAAAAAGAATCCATAATGTAAAGTTGGGCCTACTTCAGATATGAGACAACTAACTGTATAATCAAAGCGTCTTTCATTATATTATTTGCTGTTCAGTTAGCAATTCTAAATGATAAGAAGTTCCTGTCTGCCGAAAGACCCTAAAAGAGAAGCTGTTCTTGATGTTATATTTTTAATAACACATTGCCAATAACACTGAAAGTTGATCACAAGACGCATTTGTGGTTCTAACTGCAGTTTCATGTTCATTTGAATTGTAAATACGATTTTTAAAGACTATTTACAGTGATTCCAATGCTTTATGTGACTGTGTACACGTACTGTAGGTAAAAGACATCAGAGTGTAAGATAACGAAGCATCTTAAAGCCAAAGACCGTGAAAAACGATTTTTGGGGGACTATCAAGTCACATAACGGTGTCACATTGTTACTATTGTGCTCCCCTAAATTTAAAAGTACCTGAATTTCAGGGAGTTTTCACATATTTCATGTGCATGTTGATGGAATGCCTCGACATAGGTTGGAATAAAGCTGAAATGTAGTTCAGCTTGATCATAAACAGTAGAAAGTGACGAGCATTGCCTAAATATAACAAAAATTATTTTTGAGGGTTAATAAAAGTGATGAGGGTTTCAGTTGCCATTTAATGAACACAAATTCTTGCAACAGATCATCTAATCGTTTTGCTATATTGGATATCTCCATACGCAGGCATAATGTGACTTGGATACTATGACAAGGCATGTGGGATGGACTCTGCAGTCCTTTTCCCGCAGACATACTCATTTTAGTGTTCATCGCCCTACCGGAAACCAACACGTATTGACTAAAGGTGTTGATTGCCACCATGTAAAACCGATCCGTCTGATGATGATGTGTGACGTACAGCGAAGATAAATCCGTTTCCTTGTCATAGATGATAACACAAATGGTACTCTTACCACATCCTTTAGTTGAGGTTGAACAGTTCCGATATAAGGTTATTCTGTTGACTTGTTTACATTTCTTCATCTATATTCGAAATGTTGAACTGTTTTTTTTTTAATTTACATAATTAAATACTCAAACGTACTATCACGTTATGTGATACAATCCCATCAATAATAATAAAAATAAAAACGATAATGGCTTCGTGTTTTATATTAACTGAAGCTAGAAAACAGTTTTCTTTCTCTTCAGTCCAATTAAGCAATTACTCCATCATCGGAAAGACACCTCTGGGACCAGTCCCTGCCGAGTGACTATGGAAACGTCAAAGGAATTCTCTTTAACAAACAGAATTTATAAGAAACATTAAAATGTAATAAATTGCTTGGAGTAATTGTATATTAATAATTTAACGAATTTATAAATGTTAATGTATGCTATTGGAATATTGGATCTTAGAATATTTATTCGATAAAATTTTCCTGTGCACTTACATTTTGTATTATACAACATATGCTCACTTAATTCGTGCGTTTAGTGTAGTTCTGAATCTTTAAGGATAATTTCAAAGTCATCATGCTGTATTATATCGTTCTTCAAAAGTTTCCAAACTTTGTTTCAGTGTAATGAATGACGTAATGCCATTAACATTGCTATTAAGCTATTGTCACTATACGAAAGTGCCTAGAACATCGTTATACAGTACCTTTCGCTGACTGTAGTCCATGGATTGTTGCATATTTTATTTTCAATATCATCTACACGTTGAAATGGAGATATACAAACCCATACACAATGGAGGCACATTCCTGAAAATGCGTTCCTTTAAAAATATATTAAATATTGAAACATCCTGTATGTGGTTGCTCTGTATCTTTAAATTATTACATCGTTCGGTAGATAAAATGAAAACAGAAGAATACCAGAATGCGGGCATTATCTCGTATATTGATGATTAAATTACATTGAAGACCTACTTATCTTTTTGGCCACTAATAATGTAATTGGTTAAACAACCACTAACCACTCCATGAATAAATGAAAGATTAAATGCTCGAACGCACAACGAATGTAGT